GATCCAGTCAAGCGCCGCCCACACTGCTAGAGGGCGCCAGAGGAAGCGCTGCCGTGCCGCTCGCTCGTGGGGCTGGGTGGTGGGTGCTCGTGGTGAGAGAAGCTGCCCGCGGCCGGGCGCGTGACCAAGAGCGGCGATGGTGGCGCAGGGAACGGCGACCAGGATCGGCCAGGCGCAAGGTAGGAGAGAGAGACTTGCGGGTGGTGGGCCGATTTTTTTTTTTTTGGTTTTTGTTAGCCTTATCTATACCTCAGTCTTACGAAAAAGAGAGGGGGTTGGCAACGAATAAATTAAAAGAAAGAGGGATGGGTGGATGACAGGTGGGCCAGGCCCGGACACAGGCGGACGAGGCGGGCGCAGTAACATCCGCTTTCTGTCCGCCTTCGACTCAAATGTAAATTAATAAATATGACACGAAAATGGTCTAAGCGGACACAAAATAGACATGGATCTCTATGTTATGCTGACGTTTTTGTCTGTTTTGATTGAAATGGACAAGGGCGAACGAATTTAGTCGGTCCTTGGAGTTGCTCTAAAATGACCTAGCTAGAGTACTAATAGTATTATGCCACTAGTAGTAATATAGTACTACTACTGTGCTATTGAGTGGCCGCAAACTACTTCAACCACTCAACTCGGTTCTGTTCTGTCCAGATTCGTTGGCCGCCTCACCTTGAATCCTTGATTGAACTAGAGAGTTCCCACCCTTACTTAAAGTGGATCATCATTCAGGTTCTCTGGCTGACCAATCTCCGACGCTAACACATCTCTGCTTTCCATTCTCCACGTAATCAGGCCTCTCCCAGCTGAACAAGAGAACCATTCATTCAGAAACACAGATCAATCCGACATATCCGATCCCCAATCATATGCAACGGACATACAAATACAGCTCATGCTGCTCTCGATCTGCCGCCAATCCCCCACACCCCATATACGCATCCATCATCCTGTCTCCTTCCACACCCCACTCGATCGTGTGCCGTCCGCGTCCAAGCAGCTGCGACTGCCCGCTCTATCATCGTCTCATCATCATGGAGGAGATGAGTTAAGACTGCGCAGCTAACCGGGATCGGAGTCGACTTGGCCAAGCTTCCATCCTCCTCCTCTTTGATGGGTACGTTCGTGTATACACATTTTCTTTCAAGTAGTTTTAGCATGTTCTTGAATTTTTTTCTAATAAGATTAGCAGAGACTATCAGATCGTCTTTTTCCACCAATTAAAGGTGTGAATGATGAAGGCCACATGTTCATCTGTCATTCTCGCTTGCTTCTTATTCCTTCCGCTAAAGCTGCGTCCATCATCCTTTTCCCTGTTCGATCAGATTGATTGATGTGACATTGTTCATCCACCCAAGTACTGCCTCTTGATTCCATGTATAAAAGGATCACATTACTGTTCAGTTCTTGACATAGCCTCACACCATTACTGTTCTTGTCAAGAAGCAGCCAACCGGAGCCCGAACCCAAGGCGGCAATGCTGAGGCGGCGCGACGCGGGTGAAGCTGTTGCTGCTGTTGAGGAGGTGACAACGAGGCCCAAGATCCGCAAGTGGTGCGCGCTCTCGTCGTCGTCCGGCGCGTCGGGGACACTGAGGAGGCTGAGGCTGAGGCGAGGCGTGGTGTCGCTCCACCGGAGGGGATCAGGCGGCGTCTCTTCGCCGTTGCCGACCAGCTGGAAGATGTCCGAGTCGTCCTGGAGCCGGGCGTGCCGCGCCGACGGGATGCACTCGTCGGTGTCCGCCCGGAAGCTCGTCAGCGCTCTCTGGCAGATGAACGAGGGCGGCTTGCTTGAGGAGGAGGAGGAGGAGGCCCGGATCGCCAGGGACGCGGCTGCGCGCCGGGGCTCTGCGGCGGCGCACCGGCGCTGCGCGTCGTCCGTGGAGGTGAGTGCTGCCGCCGCCGGTATCATGAACCGTCGTGTTCTTGCAGTTTGATAATGATGTTGTTCCCGTACGTGGTGTAGATCTCCAAGAGGTCAAGAACGAGGAGCAAGGTGGTTTCGGAGGCTGATCATGGGCGCCATTGGCTTTCAGATAACCTGAGCAATGCCGGCACAACTGGGGTAATTAACCAACTCTTGATTTGCTCATTTGCACAACTATTAGCGATACTGTTGATCTGCTTTTTGAAGATAGGAAATAATACACATATGGATCTGCTCATCTATCTTAGAAATGTCTATATATGATCCTTTTGGTACCTCACACATATAGTATGGTACTACAGTACTACTACTGGTGGGTATAGGGTACAGCCCGACACTAAACATGGCTTTGCATTTCCAAGGATTCTCCTTCATTGTGATAGCCACATGCATGCATGCACCTTTGCCCACCTCCCAACTAGGCTTTCTAACTAACTACTCCCTCCGTTCCTAAATATAAGTCTTTGTAGAGATTTCATTAGATGGACTACATACAAAGTAAAATGAATGAATCTAAACTTAAAATGCATCTATATACATCCGTATGCGGTTTATAGTGGAATCTCTATAAAGACTTACATTTAAGAACGGAGGGAGTATATAAATTTACAGAACCTGGTTTGTCTATCCAGCTGCTTCTAATCTCATCATGTGATGTCTAGCTACGCTGTTAATTATTATTGTTTGATTAGGCGAGCCTTGTGATTGAGCACCTCGTTAAAATTGGGATATACTATTTTAGACGTATGCGGCGTCGGTAGGTCGACGGCGGCGTAAAGTAATCGGTTTTCAGTTGAACTTGACCGTCTCGTTAGCAGGATGGCATGGCAGATTCGGCGGTTGTCCGAGTTAGTTGACACTTGTGTTTTCAATTGATGTGCAGTGCGGCAGTCGTTCAAGAGGGCCATGACAGCCTCAGATACGACTGTGTGTCTGTCTGTCGAGACAAGAGCACCTCATCATGCCCATAGTCCTTTGTCTTCCTTCTGCACCTAATTAATCAATCGCCCCTAATTCAGTAAACTTGCATGTTCGATCGGACTGATTGAAATGCGTGGAGCATGACTAACATGACTACCCCTCCGTCCCATAATGTAAGACGCTTTTTAATACTACACTAGTGTTAAAAAACGTCATATATTATAGAACGGAGGCAGTACATTTTTGGGACCGTCTATTCATCTATCACCTGGGAAAAAAAGTTAAGTATCAGTCGAATTTTGGGTCTGTTAGGTCTCCATCCAACAGCCACAATAGCGTGACCACTTTTCATGTTCTTCCTCCCGCGCTGCCCTCCACGATTGTCCTCCGCTCAACTTCCCCTCACAGTCGTGCTGCCACATCCCTCTAACCCCCCTCCCCCCGCCCACGTCCTGTTTCGGCGACGACAACCCTGCACCCACCTATCAACCTGCTTCTTCGACTGGGACGCCACATCACGCGGACGACGCAGTGTGTCGTCCCCATCTTCAGCGAGGTCCTGGCTCCGCCTTTGGCTTCGTTTGAAATCGACTGATGCTTAATTTTTTTCAGTTTAGCTATACATCAGTCGACTGAAAATTCGATTTGGATCAGTCGGTTTTCCCTATCGCCGGAGGGAAGGAAGAAAGAGCCGCAGCGGGGGCTCGCCGGAGAGGCTGCCCCATTATCTATCTTATGGTTTCAGGTGGGGGCGGTGGTGCACTTTGCCGGAGAAAAACCCAAACGCGGGCAGGCCTAGAGGGATGGCCGGGGGCGGCGGAAGACCGGCGATGGGGGGTGGTTCCAGGGAGGACAGGGTGGCGAGGCCGGCGGTGGTGGCCGGCGGTTCGGCCGGTGGAACTCTAGGAGGAGGAGGAAGAAGAAGGACCGTGGGCCGTTAAATCTCCATCCGATGTCTAGAGTGAATCGACTGACCCAATTTCAGAAAAATAGCCTAACCTGATTTTTTTTTCAAGGCACCTAACATTACCAAAACCAGTACATTTTTATATGGAGCTGATACGTCCACACTAAACAAATAGCGGCCTCTGCATCGCATGAGCAGAATGAGCACGGCAGACAATACTAATTGAACAAACAGGTTTCTGATAATTCTGTAGTTTACCATCTTCTTATATTAGTTTGTTCGTGAATCTTGATCAGGTGCACCCATGCGCTCAAGACTCTAGCTCCACATGTTCAGCGGACAGAATGGCACACCTGCAGGACATGTACAACAGCCTGACGGCGTGCAAGGAGCTCGTCAGAGTCCTCGGCAACATCTGGGGGCCGGGAGACCTGAGCCCGTCCACGGCGTCGCTCCTCTCCGCCCTGCGCTCCGAGCTCGACCTGGCGCGCGCCCACGCGCGGCAGCTCGCCAGGGAGCGGAGCCACCGCGGCAGCGAGACGGTGGAGCTCATGAAGAAGCGACTGGAGGCGGAGGCGCGCGCGTGGAAGAGCAAGCAGCGGGAGAAGGTGGCGGCCACCGTGCGGGTCGTGTGCGACGAGCTCGACGGCGAGCGGCGGTCGAGGCGGAGGGCGGAGCGGGTGAGCGCCAAGCTCGGGAGCGCGCTGGCCGAGGCGGAGCGGGAGCTCGAGCGGGAGCGGAGGTCGAGGGAGCGGCTGGAGAAGGTGTGCGACGAGCTCGTGCGCGGCGGCGGGGTGGAGGAGGAGGCGAGGCGGGAGGCCGAGGAGGCGCAGGCGGAGGTCGACCGGGAGCGGGAGATGCTGCGGCTCGCCGACGAGCTCCGCGAGGAGCGGGCCCAGATGAAGCTGCTCGAGGCGCGGCTCCAGTTCGAGGAGAAGAACGCCGTCGTCGAGCAGCTGCGCGGCGAGCTGGAGGCCTTCCTGGAGACCAAGAAGCAGGGCCTCCTGGAAGCGGAATCACCTGCCGCCGCCGCGGATGAAGAACGCCAAGCCACTCACGACGATGATCGCCATGGATTCTTCGAAGCTGAAGAAGGTGCCGATAGAATCGCTCGTGTTGATGCCAGCAAGAGGACGGACGTAGACGACGATGGAGGAGGATCCGATGATGGTTCAGACGGCAGCGACATGCACTCCATCGAGCTGAACATGGACGGCAGAAGCAAGGACTGTGGCGGCTGGAGCTACAGCACCGCTTCCAAGGAGACGCTTACACCGACGGCCAAGAAGGCGGCGTCTGCGGACAGCAGGGGAACGGGGTGCGCCGATCCGTGGGCCAGCGACCGGCGGTCGCTGGAGGAATCGGAAGGAGGCCAACGGTGGGACGACGAGGAAGGGCGCAGCGACGTCGACGAGGAGGACTCCGAGAGGTACCAGGCCATCAAGAACCTCAGGGAGCAGATGCTCGCCGGCCATGGGCTGGGTTCCATTTTCCTGCCGGGAGCATACGAAGGAAATTATACGGCCTGAGAGAAAACAATGATGAGATTGGTTTGGCATGGAGCGATGAGTTGGATCGATTGCCGCTCTCTTCTCCCTTGAAACTGTGTGTGTGCATAGCTTGTGGGTTCAGTCTTCCTGGACGACCATTCTTCTTTTTTCATAGGATTGTCATTCTGTTTTTGTACATAAAACTTCTTTTTCTTCCAAACAAGATGTTCCTGCAAAGCCATATCAACCTTTCTTCCAATAAAAATAATAAATTAATAAAATGTAAAAATGAGCAAAACTGGAGCTGGGAATCGATGAAAGTTGTGGGGTGAGGACCAAGAGTAGCAGGTTACCCTCGAGAATGGCATTACGTTTTCACTGATCAGATGTGCGCAATATGACCATGAAATGTTTCATTAACTATAATATCACGAAGCATCATTCAGGTTCAAAAACATAACTTGACCACACGCATGGGCCATACAACATATAACGAGACTGAAAAGTTCAACAAGTACGAGCAGAAAGCTAAGCGTCTGGAAATAGTAGGGAAGAATAAGCATTTGGAGCTAGGAGCGAAAAGCTAGGAATTTAAGCTGACTGGCATCTGGAAATAGGAAATCTGTGTTGAATGTGCAAGCCGGACTCTAGTTTGATGGGCTTCCTGGGCCACTGGAGGTTTCATTCGGGGCAGCAGTCGGTGTAGTAGCACCTGGAGTTCCACTGGCCACATCCTGTTTGATCTCCTCTTTTTCATCAGCTGCAAACCCTCCACTGGCCACATCCTGTTTGATCTCCTCCTTTTCATCATCTGCAAACCCTCCACTGGCCACATCCTGTTTGATCTCCTCTTTTTCATCAGCTGCAAACCTTCCACTGGCCACATCCTGTTTGATCTCCTCTTTTTCATCAGCGGCAAACCTTCCAAAGACCACCTGCGCATCAGCGCAACAAAATGCAAAGCATTAAGAGGACGCACAAGGTTCTCACTTGCAATAGATGTGTATTTTCGTAAAACCATGCCATTTCCCTAAGAAGCTAGTACATATAAAAAGAAGCAAATACTGATTTTACATAGGGATATTAATATGTGTACAATGTATATCGTATGGCAGCACACTTTTGTTCCATATAGTTTTCTAGACTTAGGAAGCACACATAGCCTTTAACTACTTCAACAAACAGAGGAAGATAGAGTGGGAGCTAATTGACGTATATGGAATAAAGTTCTTAGTTGGTCGTTTAGAAGCATGTTAATCCAAGTGAAAGATGGTAACCTGAACAGGTGAAGCTGCAATCAGAGGTCCTGCTAACCCACCGCCGAAGAGAGAGCCATCATGACCAACAAGCGAAATACTGAATCCACCTTTTAGAGTGCTCAGTCCATTACTTTTTGACAGCAGATACACGCCAGACAAAGAGACAATGTCAAAATAGCCCTGCATATTGAATGCAAGGAATTAGATATTGTTTAGCATTGGCTTAGCAGCATCTCTAGAGGCCAAACAACGACATTTATTTGGAAGACCAGAACTACAAAACGTTGATAATGGATACAATTAGGCAATTTCTTTAACTACTACTACTTCACATTTCATTTTGCTTTACCATTCTCTTAATTTGGTTGGAGCTGAAGTATAATTTGTAAAGCATACCACCAAAAAGGGATTTCCAGTGTACAGATTCCAAGCAAAAACAATAAAGCAAACCTCATAAATAACAGTTCCACAGGAAGAAGCTGGTTGCTTCAGTGTCACATTGCGTACAGCGCCCTCGGCAGACAGGATACAAACTGCCCACCCATTCCCACAATAGGAGATGACTTTCGCTGCTACATCCTGAAACCATGGATTCCTTATTAGAATTTTAGAATGATACATGCATAAGTAGTAGTAATAGATAACCTATGGAAAAGATGGGAAAGATATTTAAAAACAGGAAATGTGAGGGACACCACCAAGTTCTCTTCAAAATAATGTACGATGGATATAGATATAACCGGTTAAAAAAATGTGCTAGAAGAATCAAGAAAGAAAACTTGGCCATTGAATCGGGAATACATTAAATAAATGGAACAACCGAACAGATGAATTTCACCAGTATTAAAGAATACACTCATATCACAAGTAACAAAAAAATGAAAACTAATCTTGTCTGGATATCTATGAGAATTTAATAAATGGCCTAACTTCATAATTGCATTCATGTTCATCATACTGAAGCTCCAACTTATTACTGAACGCCTCGTGCACATGTGGAGTCGATGAAACAACTTTTGAATATGTTGAAATACATAGACATGAGAAAATACAATTATTTCTTGCAGAAGCAGACAACACATACACATAATCATACTAAGCAGGAGTTTCTATATGGCCAGGAAAAAGAAGCAATATTTATTGTAAGTTTTAACAAACATATGAAGTGCAAGTGAAAATATATATGTACAGCTCACATAACGTTAAGTAGGGGCAACTTCACTAAATATTTTTAATATTTAACACTAAATATATCCACAGACAAAAATCATATTTTTCTAAAAGGAACCACCACTTCAATTAGATACCCTGATATCCAGTAGTATCCAGATACTATGATAAAATATTAATAGATCACTGCAATGTCTCTAGGAGCATCATAAGAGTAGGAAAATTTACCTCTCCACCTTGGATTGTGATGACCTGAGGAACGAATCCAGTCGCATCTGGCTCTGTCGGAAAAAGAAGAGATCCGTTTCAAATTATAAACCATTGGGAAATATATTGTGATGTTGGCAAACTGATTATAGCACTGATGAGCATGAGCCTATAAATAGTACATGACTGAACTAACATCCTAGAAATATAATTCCAAAGCACCACGAATACTTCTGCGAGGAATCCCAACGAAAGCTTAGTTTCCATGTCTAACATGTGGCAACTCTTACTGAATGTCCAACATAGATAAATAATTCCATGCTTGATATAATGTACAAACCAATATGCTAACATTAAGAATACCAGGTATAAGTACTGACACCTTAGCAGTAATACTTTAGACTAACTAGCGAGAAAGGTCATATTTTTTTCTAGCATTCCTAAAAGGTGAGAGTTAGGCCAGTTGAGTTGGGCAGGACTGCTGCCTCTGGTCATTTTGCGGTGGTCGTTACTACATATAATTATCAGGACTAGAATACCATCTAACAATCATATCCATCTATGCACTTTTGCTCTTTTCGCTACTCTACATGCGTTGACTAACAGAGGCAAGAAAGAATGCTATATACCTGCTACTGCCAACTCCCGCTGCTTCTTGCTGGTTGTGGACCTCGGCGGCCATACCCTCTTCTTCTTGGCCCGTTGTTTTGAATTCTCAAAGGGTGGTGGCGGTAATGGCGACGGCAGTGGTGCCTGGGGCCTCACGACGCCTACGCCCCACAATCCCAACGTGAAGCCCGGGGGTAGAACAGGTGTCGGGGAAGCGACAACACCAATAGGATATGGTGCCGGGAAGATAGCTGGCGGCTTGGTACCATCTGGGGTCTACTTCCGCGGGCGGCCGCGCTTCTGCTTGGGTGGCTCAGAGCTCGCGCTCATGGCAGGCACATGCACAACACCGTTGTTGGCCGTGGGACACGATGAGTGCGGTGCAGAATAGGAAGTGTTACCTTCGTGGGCGTCGTCCAGGCGGGCACCAACGATGGGTTGTGGCTGAGGATGAAGCGGGCTCTCGGGCATGTCCGCGCCATATGCCGCCTCACCCGCCGCCTCCGACATGGCCCCTCCTTCCCTTTCACCTCTCGACACAACAACAACAACCAGAAAACTCCCCCCTTCAATTTTTTCTCGACAACTCAGTACCAAACATATGAACAAATCCAGAGCTTTTATAGGGAAAGGGCGGGTCAAAATTTCATAGAGGACCCCAAAAATACATGGAATTTACATGAGCTATTTACAGTTGTCCTTTCACCATTTTGTGGTGGTGACTATCCTACAATGAAGGGGGTGACTGCATTTTTAGTAAAAAGATATTTACTTTGGGATCTAAAATTGTCGTGGATATTTTGTTTTATGGGCAAATCATTAAATGAAAACCCAAAGATGGCAAAAAATAAAAGAAAATCCGAATATGGCAAACAATAAATGATAACCCAAAGATGGATAGCATAGCAATAAATACAAATCCAAAGATGGCAAATCATTAAATGAAAACCCAAAGATGGCAAAAAATAAATGAAAATCCAAATATGGATTTTCATTGATTGCTATGCCATCTTTGGATTTTTGATTAATAGTTATGCCATCTTTGGATTTTGACTAATTACTATGCCACCTTTAGATTTTTGATTAATAGCTATGCCATCCTTGGACTTTCATGGGCACTGTTGGAGTCCACCAATGGTTATCTTTTCAAGTTGGCCATGTTTGGATTTACATTATGTGAGGGATAGGTTAGAGGGGTGTGGTTACCGTGCACTCGAGCCGATGTTATACATTAGATGGTTTAGGTTTTACCTAATCACATTTTTCGTAGTAATCGTGCATCCTCATATCAACAAGGCTTGGATAAAATGCATCGAAAACTGCTAGAGACCGCGAGAAGTCATTGGAATTTGTGTAGGAAAGAACCCACAGAATAGAAAATTAATATTAAGCGCTAAGTGGCTCTTGCACACACCAAGGCCATGGTTACTGCCAACCTTAGTCACCATCAAGGTGTTCATTTGAGAAGCCAAACCTCCATCAATGCAAGAACTAAGTGCCATCATCAAAGACTAATTGAGAGTCGAATAATAGGCTCATCGCAAGAATTGAGTCACATTGGCAGTGGGACAACCCCGTGTTGACCTAGGTCTGGATCCACCACATGGATCTCGCCACGATATTATGGAAGAACGCTATATCAACCAACTTTGTGTTGAAGTGTATATGTAGATTGCCTGTCCCTTTCCATCAGTTTGGACTTTTGGTTACATTGGCTAGTGCATGAAGCTTAACATGGTATCAGAGCCTAAGGTCTTGAGTTCAAGTCCTGGCTTTCGCAATTTATCCAAAAAT